CTCGCATCCCGCGGAAAGCTTGGTGCGGAGGAAGGGGAGGGGGGCGGTGTGGGGTGTGTGCGTGGGAATAGGGAGGTCCCGGGGAGCTCCGGGCTCCCATCCCTCCGCCGAGCATCTTCAGGGGAGAGCCGGCGAGCCGTGATTCCCAGTTGCCCGTCCCGTTTGCGGCACTTTGCGAAGTTGTTGTCGCGGTGGGGAACTGTCCGTCAGCCGCCCCGGCTGCCGCGGGAAATCGCACGGGTGACAAAGGCGGCCGCTGGGGGGTGGGGGCGGGTGGGGATAGTGGCTGCTGGAGTGTGGTGGCTGCTGTGAATAGAGGGAGGGAAGGCAATTAGCTGCCGTGTTGTTGGGGCTTTTTACTTGTCAAACTGGAGCCTCGTTGCTTTTGTTATGGCCGTGTAAAGGGAAATCGCGGGGTTTTGTTTTGGTATTAAGGGCCTTAAAGGTTGCTGGCTGACACTGTGCAGGCGAAGGCCAGAGCAGTGCGGGCAGAGGGGGGACGGGGCTCAGGCGGACAGCGAACGCACAGATTTCCCCCCTGCTTCCTTCCTCTGCCCCTAAAGTTGGTTTGGGGTTTTTTTTTCCCCCGGATCCTGGGTGCCACTTTGCATTTTGTTTTTTGTTTAGTCCACAGCCTTTGCAGATTAAACAGCCGCCTAAAAAGCAAGTGTGGAACCGCTCAAAGTCACCCTGTGTGAAACAGTTTTAATTTTTTCCTGTATTTATTTAGTCCTGTCGTTTCGTTCTTGGGGGGTGAGGGGGGATGAACTCCCTCCCATGAGTCACCCAGGTGTGTGCAGGGATGACAAGTGTTTGTGATGGGTCTCCTTCAGTGCCTCGTCTGCAGCAGCATCCATCCCACATGGCGATTGCTCTCCCTGTGTGCAGCATCCATCAGTACGAACAAACTCGCTTAGAAAGTGAGGAGGGGAAGAACGTGGCCACCGTTTCCTAATTATTCCCCGTTAACCACCCCTTGTGGCTTTTGCCCCTGTTGCAGAGTAACTACTTTGCAACTTTCGGGAAAGGGATAAATAAGAGATGAGAGGTTGACTCTTGGCAAACTCAGATGCTGCAGTTTGCCCTCGGAACCCGGCTCAGATTTAGGAAGCGGGCGTCTTGCGATGCTCATAGGCAAGAGCGAGGCGCAGAGGAGAAGGCTTCACCCTGTCTCGGTTCAGCGATGCTCTCTGGGTACACCTGTTCATCCTCACTTAGGAGCAGCTTGGGAAAATACAATAGCCAGGGCACTGTAAGGTTAGCAGTCTTGAAGCTCTTGCGTTGCTTTTACAGTGGGCTCAGTGGTTTACAGAAATATTAAATACTAAAGGAAAAGGAGGTGTGGGGAAAGACCAGAGCTAATGGTGAAGGTCTGCCAAATGTCAC